ATGGAATATTGTAATGTTTATAAATATTATTATTTCATCCTTAGAAATAAACAGATTTTACAAGCAGAAGGATATATTAGAAATTCACAAAAATATACGCAACACATAAGCTTTAAAATGAATATTTAAAAATAAAAACAATCTTTCTCGAAGTTTTTTTTTTAATTGTTTTAATTTCAAGCTGATATAATAAATTTAATATTTCCAATAATTAAAATACATTGTTCTATTTAGAAACTAATTTAAATTACCTGGACGGAGTTTTCTTTTTTCTTCTTTTTTTTTTTTTTTTGATTGCTAAAATAAGTGATTAGGTCTCTTTTCTAGCCGTCTTTCATTGCAATGCAATTCTCTTTATTAAAAAAATCTTCCAAAAATAAATTTTACTTTTCTGAAACTATATTTAAGTAAATATACCTGATTTAAAGTATAAATAAACTGATTTGAAACAAATATTATTTACTTGAAGCATAAAATAACGGATAAATTTATTTTCTAACCCGAAAGTAGCTGAGTTTTTAAATGACTGTTGCTATGTTGCCGTGTTTGACAAGGTGATAGAAGATCTAATGTTCTTCCACGAAGAATTACATAACTGAAGAAAATAACGTGAGCGCCTATTTTATTAAATTTTTAAGTACTGGGTAATCTTGAAAATGTAGGAAAATATTAACTGTAACCTAATGTTTGATCGAATTTAATAAATATTAACTTTAAATTTACTACAGTTATCGCTCTTATTTTCTGATTATATCGTATATGGTCGTCCGTACTGACAAAAATAGGCACGTTTATACACATACAAAATAATTAAACATTCTGTTTTAAAATATTGGTGTTTAATGATTTGCATTAAGCTTTTCCATTTTTGATTAATATAGTTTTCACTTAATAATATCATCTAAAAGGCTGAAATTAATGCAGAATTTTAAATGATTTAAAACTTAATTTTTCTAATTAAAATAAAAAAATTAAAACAGTTCTTGTAAAATTTCATTATTCATTGAAATTTTTTTCTGAAGACAATAGTATCCTTAATATATAAGTCCTGAAAATTTCACTGAAATTGGACAATTATTTGATTTTTAGAAGAATTTCCAAAACAATGTATTTTTAAAACCAAAAAAGATGCTAAAATCCCCTATACTAATTATTGGCCCACCCGCTGACACAGGGAAAACAGGATTTTTAACCCAGATTTCGAACGTGCTTAGAAAGGATTAAAAAAACTTAATAAAATATTAAAAAATACCTTGAACATTCCTCTTAATGATAACATAAACATTTCGACAATAAAACTGTTTTTATCAAGTTTGGGGCTTTTTTTTCATCATTGTTAGAAAATTTTTCGAAGTACCTACATTAAAGTCATAAAAAAATATATTTTCACGGTATATATTATATTTATACAAAAAGTAAACAAACGTATGCTTTTCAGATGCAAGCTCTGTACAAATCTATTTGCTAAGTTGTCCGTCAATAGCTAGCTAGAAACGAAATAAAAATGTCAAACCTGTCGGTAGGGAGAGGTAAAGAAGCGAAAGAAGGAGAGCAAGGATAGGCATTAATGGAGAGTAAAGATGGATGTATTTGTCACTTATGAAAAACAAGAGAAAAGGAGGAAGAGGGAGAACGTCAGGAACACAAAGAAGAGAAAGAGCGATTGAAAGCTGAATGAGAGAATGCCTGGCATTGTCTTTAGCAAACGATGAAAGTGAAAGCACGAATGCAAAATGGAGAAGAGGAATGAGTGTTACTCAAATAGTTTGGCATGCAGACACGCAGGAACGTAGACAAGCAGAGAAAGAACCAAGCATTTTGCCAGTGCCAGTTTCTGCAGTCTCCACTGCGCATGCGTGTACATTCAGTTGCAAGCCCGCCAGCGGTTCGTAGCGGAAGAATTTCTAAAAGATAAAAGAGAAACAAAAAGACAATCTTTGATTTGTGAAAAGAAGATGGAAGGAAAGAAGGCAGAAGTACGTCAGATGTTCAATATGATTGAATGAGTGTGTGTGTGTTGAGAAACGTTACAGGTGAGGGAGGGTGAGGGGTAAAAGTAAAAGAAATGAAGCAAAAACTTCAGTGTGGATGGTGCCGCGACAGAAGAGTTTCATTCGAATGAAGAAATAACATAAAATAAATGAAAAGAAAGAGAACAAGGAAAGAAAACAGCAAGAAAAAAGAAAGAATGAAAGAAAGAAAGCCAAGCAAACAAGAAAAAAGAAAAAAAAGAGAAAGGCCAGGAAGAAAAGTGAATGATTAGAAAGAAAGAAAGAAAGAAAGAAAGAAAGAAATGAAAACACCAAAATACGAAAACAAAGGAAATATAAGAAAGAAAGAAAGAAAGAAATGAAACACCAAAATACGAAAACAAAGGAAATATAAGAAAGAAAGAAAGAAATGAAAACACCAAAATACGAAAACAAAGGAAATATAATAAAGAAAGAAAGAAAGAAAGAAAGAAAGAAAGAAATGAAAACATAAAAATATGTGGAAGAAAATAAAAGGAAGGAAGGATGGCAAGCAAACAAAAAAAAAGAGAGAGAAAGAAAGAAAGAAATGAAAATATAAAATATGCGAAAAGAAAGGAAGGAAGGAAAGAACGAACGAACGAAGGAAAGAAGGAAGGAAGGCAAGCAAACAAGAAAAAAGAAAGACCAGGAAGAACGAAAGAAATAAACGAAAGAAAGTATAGAAGAAAGAAAGAAAAAAGAAAGAGATAAAGGCAAGCATGCAAGAAAAGAAAAAAAAGAAAGGAAGGAAAGAATGGCAAGCAAGCAAGAAAGAGAGAAAGGCCAGCAACAAAGAAATAAATAAAGGAAAGAAAGAAATGGAGAAAAAAGAAAGAGAGAAAAGTAAGCAAGCAAGAAAAAGAAAGAAAGAAAAGCCAGCAAGAAATAAAAGAAAGAACGAAAGAAAGAAAGGAAAGAAGAAGGAAAGAAATGAAAACATAATTTTTTTTTTCTCTAGACTAAACATTACGTACCTCTGGCTGCTCATCGCTATTACCATGACATGTGTTCTGAAAGGGCTGGTTGGACTAAGGTATGTATGTCACATACCTTAGTCCAAACAACCCTGTCTTTTACAAATTTACCCACCATTCCACGTACACAGGAGTGAATTGTTCTCATTCCCTTCATATAAACCTTTATTAAGAAATAAGCTTCTTCACAAGATCTGCTGCTTTCGGGAAGATAATTCCAGTGTTAGTTCTTTTAGACATTTCTAAGTTTCCAAATCGCTTTGGACATTATCCAAAAATAAAAAATAAAAATTAAAAAATTAAGAAATTTGTTGCTCGAACCCACCATGCCCTCTATTCCATTCATATTCCATTTGTGAGGAGTAAGTTCCAATCAGACAGTTTCTTTCCCAAAACTGCTACTTTGTGGAACAGACTCCCGACAGCATGTTTTCCTATTTACTATAATCTTGATCACTTCCAGTCTTGGATTAATCGACATCTTTCCTACAGAATCCCACAGACTACACTTGTTACTATCACTTAAGCTCATTCAACACGACACATTCACCTTCTAATTTGAGTGACTCTTGGACTATGTATTGGTTGAACATTAGTATAAAAAATAACGGATTAATTCCTTGCTTCATAAATATATTGTCTCTGTCATAGTTTGCTCCTTAAAAAGACGGGAAGTCACACGAGTATGGCATATGTCAGCTTACGTCAATTTAGTATCGCGTTGAGGGATTATGAATAAAGAAAGACAAGGAAAAAGAAAGAAAAGGAAAGAAAGAAAAATCTGAAGAGAGTAGGGAAGGTAACGGCAAGAAAGAAAGAAAAAAAGAGAACAAGAAAGAATGAATAAGATAAAAAGAAAATAAATGAAAAGAAAGAAGAGTGAAGGATAAGTAGGTGGAGAGAAAGTGTAGAAAAAAGAGAAAGAAAGGAGAAAAATTCAGACTCTAAAGCCTGAAGAGAGAAGAGCAATGCGGGACGAAGAGATCGTGGGAGAGCGTTGGGAGAAGGAGAGACGGTGATGAAAAAGACAAAAAAAATCAATGATATTGTACACCGTTCAATTTTATGGGCTCTCGATGCGACAAAAATGTGTTGACCATTCGATCAGTTATCATTTTCATAAACTAACCGCTAAAAACATTCGTTCTAATTTTTCTTGTCAACAGGCATATAATCGATTGAGTTAGTCGCGGTGTTTTTAGTGTTAACGGCATTGTTTAATTTAAGGTTATTTTCTAATTTAAACGACAGCAAAACCAAAGAGGCTCAACAAATATCTAGATGAACAGGGTCTAGAAGCTGATTTCACATCTGACCGAGCTCTAACTGCTCGCTCATCACGACAAAAAACAAAAAAGAAAAAAAAGCTGGCTTGTGACATTGAATGCCTCAAAAGCCAAAACAGTAACTTTTCATCATCACAAACATTTACCAACGAATGTCTCAGGAACATCCTCAATATCAGATGGTCGGGAGTCGTTTCCGACGACCGAATGTGGAGCAGGACCAGATAAACCCCAATCGAAATTGACATCAAGAAACGGAAAAGGGGATGAATCAGCCACACACTTCACAAGGCTGCTTCTAGTGTCACCAGGCAGGCCCTTGGCTGGAATCCACAAGGGAAGCGAAAAGTGAGTCGACCAAAACAGACTTGGTGCAGAAGTATTGACGCAGAGTGAATGCTCCCGGCACGGCATGGGCCTAGCTGAAGACGATCGCCCGAAACCGCGTACGTGCAGAGGAGTTGTTGTGGCCCTATGTGCCACAAGCAATCAAGAGGATAAAGAAGAAGGATGAAGATCACAGAGGTAACATTAATAATCACCATTCATGCTGAATGCTTGAACTGTCAAAAGAAGTTACGCTACAAACCTCATCTGGAACACACACACACACACACACACACATATATATATATATATATATATATATATATATATATATATATATATTGAAAACGAGAGACGAGGTGCTTTTATTTAGTTTTTATACAATTTCTCATGCGATCTAATATATTTTTCTTTTCAGATGATAAAAAATATAATATTATACAATAGAAAAACAATTAGATTAATTATTTATTACAAAAAATTTAAAACCTCTTATCTTATTGTTAAAAATAATAAGTCACCTCCGAGAACAAAATTACATAGGGCAAAAATTATTTATGAATTTAAATGCCCATTAAGGAATTGTATTCCTGATCAATCAAAATTGGTAAATAATTATATAGGCCACACTACAACATGTTTGACATGCAGACTCACTCTACACCTTTCTGACCATAGCTCAATTAGATTTCATTTAAATATTCATGCAGACCTACCGGACACTATTCGTAACATACTTGTTGACAACACTAATATAATAGCATCGTCTACATGCAAAAAAAGGCTAAAAATAATGGAAGCCTTATTAATAAACACAAAAAAAAAACAATTAATAATATTAATTTGAGCATGGACATAATATCTTGACGGTGTTTTGAAAAATGAAAACATTATATAAAACATAAAATCAGTTAAAATAATTAATCCTTGAAAATGGCTAAATGTATAGCCGAAAGCGCTCGGATAAAAAGAATATTCGGACAGTTTTTATATAATTTATCATCTGAAAAGAAAAAAAATATTAGATCGCATGAGAAACTGTCGTATTCAATGAAATTTGCATGAAAGAAGGATTGCTGCACACACACACACACACACACACACACACATACACACACACACACATATATATATATATATATATATATATATATATATATATATATATATATATATATATATATATAACTAAAGCAGTTGTTCCAGTTAATTTGTACAAGGTTGTACATTTAATTGAAGCCAGAAAATTACGTTCAAATATTTAGATTTCGGCATTAAATAACCCATAGAGGTGTTGATATGACGTTAATCAAAATCAACCAAACCAATAAAAATATTTAGATTTCGGCGTTAAATAACCCATAGAGGTGTTGATATGCCGATAAATCACATTAATCAACCAAAAATAAACCTGATTTCTTTTAATCACCGAAGAGAACCATTTCTACCTGTCATCAGTATGACTGATGCTTACCTCCTGGTGAGGAACTATTTGCGCCTTCTTGGTCTCACATTTTCCGCTAACATGCAGCCATTTTCTAGGTCTACTGCTAATAAAGTTGCTTCACTCTGTCGTGCCAGACATTTTTTTTTTCTTGTTACAATCCATCTTGCACATTTATAAATATACCATTCGCCTGTGCTTTGGATTCTGTTGCCATATTTGTTTGGTCTTCCGTCTATATATCTCGAGATATTTGATAAAATTCAAATCTAAATATCTGTAACGTAATCGTGAACAGGCAGCTCGACTTTAAGGAATTTCGCACTGTGTGACATGGCTTCCCTCTTCCTTTTCTATAAATATATTCCTGACAATTTTTCTGATGAGCCCTCCTCCTTGCTACTTCGAGCGCACGAACTTAAGCGGATTACTGGATTGTCACTTAGGTCTCACTTAGTTTCTGCTGAACTAGTTCGATTCTAATAGTTACTTTTCTCACATTTCCTTGCCATAGAGTCTTCATAGATTTAAATGCAACGCCAATCGCCATATTTTGTCTTCATGGATATTGCTCTTTTATTCTCTTTTCTTGTCATGTCTAAAGTTTTCTCATTCCCTTTCACTCCCAGTAACCCTTTTGCGTCTTAGTGGCATTATCGCCTTGCTTGGGTTTGTTGGTTGATTTTGTTTAGGGCATATCGATCTCTGTTGGTTATGAAATGCCGAAATCTAAATATCTGTTACGCAATTCTATTTTTCGACCGCATGAACTTAAGCGGGTTACTGGATTGGCAGCTAGGTCTCACCGATTTAGTACTGAACTAGCTAGATTTAACCGTATATTCAATTCTAATAGTTTCTTTTCTCACACTTCTCGCTGCCGCATAGAGTCTTCAAAGATGATTTTCCAAGCGTAGGTTGGATGTAGCACAAGGCCGAAAGTATGGGGCATCCAGTGAGGATCGAACTCACTACTCAGTCGTAATTGTTCTAGCGAGACAAACTTGTTAACCATTACACCACCTCGAGGTCTCAGAGTCTTCAAAGATTGAAACGCAACGCTAATAGCCAAATTTTGTCTACTTTGTCTTTTTTTTTACGGATTATCAAACCTTTTTTGCAGGCTGTTTAAAATCAGAAAATATTTCAAGAATTTCTTGGAGATAATAATGATTTAGAGATAGAATTGCTAGTAATTGACCGATAGTTGTGACGGGAGAGGAGGTGGACTCTTACCTCTCCCAAAGGTGTTTATGCATAGGTAAATATAACGACCCTAAATGGAATTGGAATAATATTCCCCGTTTTCAAATTCAATTCGTTCTCCATATCCACGCGTAAAGCATCAGGCAATACTTTGTGGCATTCTGCGTATATTTATTGCTTATTTTTGTACAAGGCCAGTAGTAAACAAATAGACATTCACACTAATAAAAAAAACAAAAACCAGCTATACCTCGTTGTCTACTGATAGAAATCGATAGTGTAAGCTTCTCTCCCAGGCTGTTGCTCGGGGAATGTGCTCGATTTACACTAGATAGTACGCAATCCTATCTTTTATAATAATGGTTTTAGTGATACAAGTCTTAATAATTAACCCATAGTTGGGGAGAAGAGGTGGATTGATACCTTTTCTAAGGGTATTTCCGCGTAAGTGAATATAACACGAACCTGTTCGGAATTTGAACTCGGCTCTCCGATTAACAATTCCGAGCCCTTATCCATTACACCAGCGGTATATCCAAACTTAGAACACCTGGTATTCCCAAACGGCTGCCTGGCTTGAAAAGTCAGTCATTACGTCAAGTCCCAGGGAGACAGAAAGAAATCCAAAGTTGCTTACGAAATTTAAATTCGATATTCGTTAACCCTGAGTTCATTTACGGTGAAATAATTCAACCCATCGGCC